CTAAAAAAGAGGGAACACTTGAACAAATGAGCAAAAGTATACCCTTCAATGTAGAGTAGAAAACATACATAATGTCTGGACCACCACCTATTTATAGAACATATGGCTTTGAGCAAATGAAAGGTCACCTCCTTTCTCAACTGTCAGATCTCTTCCAGATAAACGGATAAGAAAGAGTAACCTTTCGTTTCAAAGGCACGAATCACAAGGAAACCTTAATCTGTCTAAACCCTAAAAACCTAACACATTGTTCTATTAGCCATGCGAGGCAAAATTACGATGAATGATTCAGCCTTTCACACATATACAGTAATTTGAATACCTCTTCGACCTAGGCACAAATAAATTTTAAACCACATATCCAATCGGTTCATACCTTTTCTGCCAATAAAAGAATTATAGTACCAAATCACCAACAGTCCTAATCAAAAGCCCATATGTCATATCTCCTTGGGCTTGGGGGGCTAGTGTACTGGATAAGACACTCCTTTGTCATTACAATATAAATAGAAATTCAAATACCCCATTGGCCTAAAGGACAGACACCCCTCCAGTCATATTAAAATAAATTAATAAAGATGATTAAAGAGACTAAAAAAAGATAGTCATTAATTATCTATTTAATCAGAAGGTTAAAGTTAGAACTAAGTTATGAAGCCTATTAACTTAATATATTGCCTATAAAAGGAAAGTAAGATGTATAGGTAAAAAGGTGACTTTTGAATAGTAAATAGCATTTATTACCTAAACTGATACCTGACTTTATCATCGGAGTGCCTTTTGCAAATACTCTCTCCACGTCATATAAAGAAAAATATGAAATATCGGCAAGGACGTTACATTATTAGACAAAGGAAGAGATCATTGAAGACCATTGTATCTTTATGAGGAACATTAGTGTTATTTTATTATTATTAAAATGTTTTAATTACACATTATTAAGAGTTACTTCCCCACTCTACTTAGCTCAATCTGGACACTGGAAATATGTTTAGATAATATAAGAAGTCAAGTTGATCTGTGATAAAATAGTGCTCAAGAGTCAAAATAACCTTGGTGATTCGTATGCAAATGGATACTAACTAGTCAAAAACACAGTAAGTTTGACATTTTGACAAATATAGTTGCATGCAAACCGCAATATAGTTGTAAGTTAAAATAAGGAAATAGAAATTGTGTCTAAGGTACAAAGGAAACACTGCTAATCTTTATTAATAATATCATGAACGCAATTAAGAGTACATACACCTTTAAGTGAGTGAAACAACTTTGGGTTTTTTTTTTACTTAACTCTAAAAGCAGGGTAGATTCCTTCAAAGCACACCATTTGATTCGTAAGACAAATTTTGTCGACAGAAAAAGAAAATAAAAGGTGAATTGATAATTGAGTAAGTCAGAATTTTTTAACATTCAATGTAGAAGATAAGCTCCTCCGCCTTCGTTCTTCTCCGCTTAAGTATATATAAGAGATTTAACATAAAGTGCAAAAGGTGGCACTAAAATTTCGCAGTTAAAGTTATTTCTATTTTCATATAGATCCAACTTATGCCCTTGCAAATAAACATAACATTTACAGTGAATGTAAAATCACTTACTTGCATTATTAATTATACAAGGCTTAAATGTGGGTGTTCCATCTATCTATTTATCTATATCTTTGTATCTATAATTATTTATAACATTGGTAATTACAACTACTTATTACTATATATATTTATATCAAATTTTATGATTATAAAAATTTAAAATGTTTAGAGTAATTTATATTATTAGTGATATGAATGTTACATTATTAAAAAAATATATTATTTTTTATTTATTTATTAGTGTATATATTTATAACAAAAGTTATAGTTATTATTTAAAATATTTAGATTTATTTACATGATATGAATGGTTAGAACAAATGTTAGTTCAAAAATAAAAATAACATATTGAATATGAATTATATTTAATAATAATTTATTGAAATTAATTATAATATTTTATATAACTTAAGAACTAAAATTATTATTAATTTATAATTATTACCTTTAAATTATATTTTAAAAAATTTTATTAGAATTGATTTTATATAAAATTTTTATATGAATAGTTATACAATTTTAAAAAAGACAATAACAAATTTACTATGAGTGATATTTAATAAACATTATTTAATTTATTAAATATTAAAAATTAAATTAAATTCATTTTGAAATATTAAAAACATGAAAAAATATTAATTAAATTACATAAAAATATTTCACAAAGTGATATGTTAATGCAAAATGAAATTGTATCTTTGTTTTAAGTTATATTCAAATTTAAATATATTTATTTAAATTATTATTTTATATTGTATATCATTAAATTATTATTTTATATTATAAATTATTAAATTATATTTATGATAAAAAATAAATTATAATACAAAGGAAATTTTTTTATTATATATATCTTTTAAAAACTTTCTAAAATTTTTTACTATCATTTTATTTTATTTTTATATTTTACAATCATGTCAACCGATCTATCTAATTAAGTATATATATTATTTATATTGATATTTTTTTTAATTTCTTTTTATTAAATTATATTCATATGTTTTATTTTAATTTGTTAAATAAACATAAAATTGTATTATATTTAAGTGATATTACGTATTAATTAAATTATATCGAATTCATCAATATATTTTTAACTAATTTAATCTATAAGAGTATAAATTTATATTATCTAAAATTATATCGTTGACAATTTCATATATGTTATATTTTAAAATTTATAAATAAAAATATTTAAAAAATAATTAAAAAAGTAATAAAATATCATGTTATAAATATATTTCTTAAAAGAGATTTTAAACATATTAAAAATAAATAAAATATAATATTATTAAATTTTGATTATCTTTATAACATTTATAAAATATTTTTATAATTAAATTTAATTAAAATATATAAAATAATCTATATAAAATTGACGACAACTATTTATTACTATATATATTTACAATAAAATTTATACTTATTAAACTTTAGAATACTTAAAGCTACACACAATGTTGATAATACTAATAATCAATATGAATGATAGTACATGTTAAAAATAGAATAACAAATTAATCATAAATTGTATTTGATAAAAATTTATCAAAAAATTTAAAATACTTAAAATGACATATAATGTTGGTCACACATATTATTAAAATAGATGTTGGTGTATATTAAAAATAAAAATAACAAATTAACTATAAATTTTATTTAATAAAAATTATTAAAATTAATTATAATATTTTACGTATCTTAAGAATTTAAATTATAATTGATTCATAATTATTACATTTGAATTGTATTTAAAAAAATTTATTAGAATTAATTATATATAAAAATTTTACATTAATAGTTATACAATGTTAAGAATAGAAATAATAAATTAACAATAAATTATATTTAATAAAAAATTATTAAATTTGATTATATAAAAAATTGAAAAAACTCACCATAAATTTATGTTAATATTTATTTTAATTATTGAAAAATAAAAATTATATTCCATTCAAATGAATCTTATCATAGTATAATACTAAATCTCATTATTTATTAAAAATATTTTTTATTATATTTATATTCATTGGTATATATATATATTTATGTTTTTTTATTTTAAAATATTTAATAATAAAAATAATAATATAATAGATTTATATTACTTATATTTAAAAATAATAATTTTTTTACTATTTAGTTTCAGTTTCACGTTCCTTTTAATATATTTTTAAAAAATTTATTTTTTATGTTTACATCAACTTAAAAAAATTAAAATTATTATTATTAAATAGAATGAAAAATATATAAAATATAAAAAAATTTATATGAAAATGTAATTATCATATTTTTCAATGTAAATTATATTTAACATTATTTAATATAATAAAATTTTGTTATTATATATTTTTTATATTTAAATTATAATTTTATGTTTATTTTAAAATAAAATAATTTCATAAAAAATATAAATAAAATTGTGTAAGACATAAATATATTTATTAATTGATAGTTAAATTATTATTATTAAGATTTATAATATTTAAAGTTACATATAAATTAAGTTTAATTGTTATATTTATTTTTTATACATAATTTATTTTAAAAAATAATCAAAATTTTCATTAAATATTTTTATTTTTATAATATATTAAAAATAATTATTTTTATATTTAAATTATAATTATTTTTAAATTAAATTAAATAATAAAAAATATAAATATATTTATATAAATCTGTGCAATGCACATATATCTACTACTATTCTATGTATTATAGCAATTTCATGAGATACAGTCTAGCTTGAATAAGCGTAAAATTATCTAAACATAAGGGTTATAATTCTTTGTGCAAGCATATGTAAAATATGTTTTTTCTTTTCACAACTCATGTAAAACTTCGGATGTGTAGGCATTTATTCTTAAGCAGGTCTTGGGTATGATATTTGACTCAACAGTATTTTAAGTTGTTAGTGACTCAAAAAATTTATTTTTAAATTTTCAATCTTTTAGATTTTATATAAATAATAATAATTAATATCACAAAATTTGAAACGTTATACGAAACTTTTTATAATATTAAAAAAACATAATTTCATAAGAAAATAAACTCATCATTTATAAAACTTAGAAGTTGCAAAATAATTTACCAAAATTTAAAATTAAAGCAAGCAATTTGCAAGTTATCCCCCTTTCCTAATGCATGCTAATTAACTCACTTAAAAGTACAGATTGACATCATCTACTTTAACAATTTTATAAATAAAGGATTTAAAGGGTTGAAACAATAATTTAAACTTAATGTGCTTTTTTCTTCTGAGAATAATTGTTCATATGATTTTTTTTACGTTAAAAACTAGTGTTTTTAATTTTTTTTTCACCACCCTGTTATATAACACAAAAACGCGCGTTTCATGTTAGCATATAAGACGAGAGCCAAATCCAAAACCCTAATTTCCACCACCCTATACGGCGCTCATTTCTTCACATTGTGCTGTGCTCTTGCTGTGTGGCGTAAAGGTAATCCTCTCTCTCTGCTATCCGCTTTCTGTAATCGCGCTTTGATCTTCGACTTTGAGTAACAGGCAGACGAGCACACTAAGATTTTGAATCTTCGATGAATTTCAATAGCGTTTATTAGTTTTCTAGGAATCATACAGAAAATGAAAACGGATCCGATTTGTGTTTGGCTTTGGGTGAGTGGTTTCACAGGTTCTCAACGGTAGGTGAGAGAAAATGAGTCGAGGAGGTGCAGCAGGTGCCAAGGGAAAGAAGAAGGGGGCTACATTCATCATTGACTGCGCCAAGCCAGTGGAGGACAAGATCATGGACATTGCCTCTCTCGAGAAGTTCGTCCAAGAGAGGATTAAGGTCGGTGGCAAGGCCGGTGCTCTCGGCGACACTGTCTCCGTCGCACGCGAGAAGACCAAGATCATCGTTACTTCTGACAGCAACTTCTCTAAACGGTATTTCTCTATTCTTGTTTTATTTTTTATAGTTTAGTTTATTTTTATGTCATTTTCTGAAAATTGAAGATGTCTTTTGGACATGATTTATTTTTGTTATTTGATTATTGAAATTACTTTGATTCATGTTTTTTTCCATTTTTTTTAATATCTCGTATGGTTGCAGCTACCTTAAGTACTTGACAAAGAAGTACTTGAAGAAACACAATGTGCGGGACTGGCTCAGAGTGATTGCTTCTAACAAAGATAGAAGTGTTTATGAACTGAGGTACTTCAACATTGCTGAGAATGAAGGAGAGGAAGAAGATTAATCATGTCACCTAGTTATTCATTTTAAAACCTTGTTTACCCATTTTCTCATCGCTAGCTTCTATTTTGCCAACTATTAGCTCCAGATATGTTGTTTTATTTACTTTAGTTGCAATTTAACAGTTTTGTTTATTTAAGAGTTTGGTGCCATTTATGTTGAATTCAGATTTGAATTCACATTATATTGTCAAATTTCTCCTTTGATACAGTTCCATTGCATTTTCATACTTCCCTTGGATTTCACAATCAAATCAACTAAAATTCTTCCCCCAAAGCCCCCATTGTTTGTTGCTATAGGGTTTGGCACTTGAAATAGGTTGATCAAGTGACCACTTGATAGCATTAAGGCAGTATCTAGTGAATTTGGATTCACATTTGAATAGCCTGGGATTCTTGTTTACTTTTACATTACTGGTTGCACGTTTTTTCAGCATGTTTCCAAACACACTCGGTTTGCTTATTGACTTGCTTCTGTGCATTGTGCTTGGTAGTAGTAGAAATAAAGAAAGGATTCAAATGGATGAAAATTTCTGTACAGGAATACACAGTATCCAGATATGTTCTTAGTGTGACTTTTTTTTTTGTTCTTACCTATCATTATTATGAATTCATACCAAGATGTATGGAAAAGGTTATATTACAAATGAAAATCTTTAATATGATGTGTGGATAAGAAAATTCAATCCTGTTGCAGGCGACCATAAATTTGTGGGCTGGAATTCATTTTTGTATATGCAAAATAGCTGAATGGTGAATGACGTCACATTATTAGAGTTCACTATGTTTAAACATCGCGGGGCAGTAAACCCATTATGATCCATAATTTTTTGGGGTGATAAATGTTATTATATCGGTTTTCCCCCATTGTTATAAGGAATACTAATATGAATAAATATGTTAATTACTTAACTGGAGTTTATAACAGAATGATAACAGAATGAAATACAATTTATGATGGATGGAGGCATCACTATTTTTTTATACTTAAATTTGTTTTTTTGTATTTATACAATGATTTTTCAACGAATTTTGATAATTTCTTGCGACATGTTTAGTGTATTGCTTCAATCTGTCCAAATTTCCTAATCAAACTTGCTGTCAAAGTCTGCTCATAACGAGGTTTGTAGCTTTCAAAGCTTAATTTTATTGAATTACTCTTACGACTTGAACGGTTGCGGCAAAGATACCATAATATGGTTCATGTTCCTTCCTTACTCCGGTTGTGGCATTCAATGTTTATTCTGATTTCTGAAGAAAGTGGTATTTCGTGACATTATCACCACCTGTACCTGGTGATGCATTGGTTATTTTTCGAGTATTGGATTTATTATTGCTCAATGACTAATACTTTTTTCAAGTAGATATCTATTTTGGTCATTAGTGTACAAATTATCATATAATAATCGTGTATTTAAATGATTGTCGATATAACGTAGAGGAGGTAGGATATACAGTTGGTTAGATCTAGTATGGATCGTATATGGACGGTAGTTGGAGTCGATGACTCTCCTAGGGTTTTCTCGTTTGGGATCCTAGAGAAGAGGATCAAGCTGGCCCTTGCGAACAACTTGATGCACTATCTCTCTTCAACCTTTTGAGTGAAATGCGACAAAAGGAAAAAGAATCCATAGATCGACCCCATCGTTTCTATCCTGTAGAAACTACTAGATCATTTCAAGGACACTAAATTAACTCTCTTAATACTTATATCAAATTAGTTTAAAGTCAAATTCTAATATTCTAATATCAAACAATCGTGTTTATTTTTATTCTTGTATTTTAGGAGCATTAAGGGTATTGCTTAATCAACTAAGAAAACATTTTTTTAAAACCTGTACTACACTTCTTTTTGGATTCCCCTTAAAGTGGGTGCCTTGTCATTATTCTTCTCTTTCATTTACCTTCTTTAATTTATTTATAATAGGGCATCTCGCAATTAACAAATAAAAATTTTTCCTTTCATCAAAGTGCAAAATCTACTAAGGTGAATTTATCTCAATTAATAATTGTAGTCACAATTAAAAAGTAATCATAATGTATTTATGAGACATAATTATTTAATGACTGTTAAATTATTGATAAAACCGTTTATATTATGTAAGAGTTAATAAGTAATAAATAAAATAAAAATATATCACAATTTAATTGATTTTATAATTCAAATACTTTTACACTTATTTTATTTATATCTCCTTTTTTTCTTTTTCTTTTTTTCATATCATACGTAACCATTTATTTGTTTCTTTATTCTTTACTCGCTGTCGCTGAGATCTTTTTAGTTGTATCAACTGTTATGTTTGTAATGCTTTTCATGGTAAGTACTGATAAAGTAATATATTGTGTACAAAAACCAATTTTTTATACAGAGTTTACATTACTTCTGTATTTTTCTCTTGAATCTATTTGTGCTTGTTCTTTATTCTCATTTCTTTCTTCATTATTTATTTAATGCGGTGCAATTAATGGATTTACAATGAAAAACGTCTTAATAATAATAAAAAAAAAACCAACTGGACGTGACTAATTGAAATACTGAAAAAATAATAATGTGCATTTCTTACAAAATAAAATTCGTACCAAATCGTACTATTCAGGAATTTATATTACATATAAATTATTAATTGAAAAATAAAATAAGGTTATATTATAACGTAATTATTTTTTAGAATTTAGTTAACATAAGCTTTGAAGGTTGATTTTAAGCGTATAAATTTAATAATTTTTTATTAAAAAATATCATTTCACTCTTATAATTTTAATGTGATAAATATTTATTTTTCGTATTTTTTTAATATTTTGATAGTTTAAATCAGTCTTATAAAGTGGTGTTAATAATTCTTTTAAATTTTTATTATGCTTGATTGTTGTACATCAAATGCTCTGTTACAGTGATTTTAAAAAAATAAAATAAATAGACTTGTATTTTAAAAAAAAATAATAATTTGCAGTACTTTTATGCTTTTCCTTTCATTTTAGATCAATAATCTGTAATTCACTGTTCACCGCGTTTGTTGCGTCATTTTCCTACCATTTTTTTTTTCAATACTTGCTGGGTGAATTTTTTTTTTATTGTAATCTTTAAAATTATAAATATAATTCATTTAATTAATTTATTTTTTTACTTTGTAGAATCCTAACTTTAATTTCAAATTTTATAAAATGACATTTACTTTAATTTATTATTAAAAACAACATTCTATTATTATTATAAAATAATTATTTACATCAATTCATAAATAAAGAGATTAAAAATAATATTAACCCTAAAAAAGAACTAAAAGAGCTTATTAAATTAATGTTTGTCGTTCGTTTTCCAACAATGTGACATAATCATAATCCAGAGTTTCTTGTATGGACTTGGATATTTGTGCATTGCGTGTTGAAATGGGTCTGCATTCATCATTCCATCTCATAACTATCTCTACCCCCTCGTAGCATTGCTTGCATTTTAAGGTTCTTCTGCATTGGCAGCAATACCTTACTTTCTTGTTTCCTTCTCACACTTCAATTTCCAACATTAGACAAAAGAAGTAATGAGCTTCCTTTGGCTTTAGCTTGCATGCAGCAGCAACAAAGGAGGAGCAGAGTCCCCCACTTCCTAAGGCAAAACTCCCACCTCCACTGCTGCTTCCTCCTTCTTTTACCACTGTCAACTTCCATTATCCTCACGCCATCTCTTACCATTTTCACCACTCCACCGTCATCACTTCCCCTTCGCTCAGTCTAATCCAACCCCAAGTACCATTTTATTGCATCATCTTCTTCTTCTCTCATTTATTCGTCAAGCACTTAATATGTTTGACTCTTAACTTTGAAGTCAAAAACTTTCATCTTCATGTTTTTGTATTAGCACTCGTGTATTTGCTTATCGTAGTTGTGCACTGGAGGCCGTTCGATCATCGGTTTGTATTAAAACGACTATTAGTGTGTGATTCCATTTTTTTTTTAAATAATAACATTTTTTATAAAAGGATCTTTAAAAAATAAACAATTATTTTTATAAAAAAATTTCTCAAATGAGCGTTATTGTACTCTATTGTTTTTAAAATGTTGATATTAATCTTTAAAATTGATTATAAACTTATGAAATTAATATTTTTATTAAAAATAAAAATACTTATTATACTTTTATATTTTTAATATAATAAATTTTCTAGTTCATAGAAATTTACTGATTTTATATACTTTAAGAAGACTTTCTTCAAATCAAGCTTTGAACACTGCTGCTGCGCACGTTACTTTTAACTTAGTGCTGATAATAGAAATTCCAAATGATTATAATAATTTCTATAAAAGGAGAATTTGGCAACATCCAAACATGGATTTTTGATAAGTGAGAAGTTGAAAACTGCTAAAGTTTTGAGCTGTCTGTTTGTTATTTTCCACATAATAATGATCAGAAAAACAAATCTTATTGTATTATGTATTATTCATATTCAGTCATATTTATTGGATCTGTGAGCACCAGGGAATCAGAAATCAACAAACTGATTTCCTCTTAACTCTAAAGGTGAACATTTGGTCATCTGGGAACAAATGCACTCGCTTGAAATTTGATACCTTCATCATTATCATCATCACTAAACATGTATGAGATTACTTAACTAAAAAAAGATACAGAGTTAATTGACTTTTTCCTAGGTGTAACGGATAAGCAGAGAGAGATGAAGTCCAAGATATGGAAATATATTATTCAATGGCAAAGACTTGGAAACGCTTAAATATGTCCTCTTGGCTGGAAATGCAGTCTTCATGCTGGTTGTAACGTCCTGGAGTTGGCCTGTGCATTCCATTTGAGCAATTTGACCCTGCAAAACACGAATCATATTCACATGCAAACATCTGTTTCTTAAAGTGAGGACTGAGGCATAACTATTATAAGTAAATCGTGTACTCCAAATCTCCACCTTCTCTCACTGTTCTCTACAGAAAGAAACACCCCTATGGAGCAAGAGAGATAAGTGAGGTTCGACAACAACCTAGGATCATCATTCCAACAAAATTCAAACAACTTCTGGTAATGCTGCGCCATACAGGAGCAGGAAAGAAGGTGGGAAAATCATGTTGGAGAAGGGGAGCACGTGCAGACACATGAACTAGCTCGAGCTAGATTGGAGTTGAAGAGAGATGTTGCACGTGCCCTGCTTCTCCAACAGGACCTACCCACCAATCAAGATTATAGTGAACCACGCTGACACTGCTTCAGTTGAGAGTGCTCGAGAAGCTCATGCATTTATACACTGCTTGTTAAGAGAGAGAGAGAGAGAGAAAGGGTATGTGATATTGTGAGTGAAGGAGGATTTAAGACATTGAGTCTTGAAGTGGACATTCTTTAATGACCCATGACCCATATATGATGATCTAAAGAAGCAACCAACCCTTCTTATTTCCAAATTCAATTCAGAAGAACTCGCAGTCTGGGATCTTGGATATGGCTCTTCTATCAAGAACTCGTAAGTGGGTCAAATACTTACGCCAATATCATTAATAAGCTCTTTTTGGACAGTGTGGTAAAGGTTCTGTGTAGAAATTGGAAAGTGGGGGGTTGAACATGGATGTGAAAAGAGAAACTTGGAACCAATAGCATGGTAATGTAGATTTGACCCAGAATTTGACATGCATGGCCCAGTGAATCTTATTCTTACTGGTTGATCAACCGTTGGATTGAATAAAGATGCAGATTTATAATTACGAATCTATGGGTCAGTTCTGTTGGACGCTTTCTGCCGCCAAAACAGACAATTAGGCCCCCACCTGCAAAGACTTGCCTTGTGGGCATGGGGTAAGCGAGACCTCTAAATATTTTTATTGGTAATTTGCATGTACGTAAATTAACAATATAGATTTTCAAAAGTAAATTATCTTTGTGCATGGAAAATGCTAATTTAATTGAGTGAAGTATTGAGGTAAAAACAGGCGCAGAAACAGTAACGAATTGTCCTTATGGGTTGCGTGTTGGAGAATAGAAATTGGGTTTATGCGAGGAAAGAAAATAATTTAGAAGGTGGCAGGAAACACCTGGAGAAGTTTCTGCAGCAGAAAAGACAGTCCCAATGCTGATGCTGGATGCTGATGCGCTTTCCTATTTAGCCCATGCCTACTCTACTATACGCTGGATTCCAAAATTCCTGTAGGTTTGTAAAAAAAAAAGAAATATGATATACATATTTTTTATTTTTAAATCGAAGGAACAGATGATTTTTTAAAATAAAAAATCATTTTTGCTTATTTTTTCTTTTTTTTTTTCAATTTAATAGGGACTAGTAAAGGTTTGAATAAGAATAATGACGATAGATAAAATGTGAGAAAAAAATGTCAAAATAATATATTAAAAAGAGAAATAAAAAATTTACTTATAAATAAGATTATAGATAAAATAAAAAATTAAAATTAAAAATATATGAAAATTGAATTTATGTCCATTCACCTGTTCAACTCAACTTATAAGTAGAAAGGAATTAATTAGATATTTATTTTTCACATTTCAAGTTGAGAAGAATTTAATGGTTATTTCTTTGAAAGTTAATTTTCACATTCTTTTGATGAAACTATGTAATTTAGGTTAATTTGGGCAACTATATAATATAGTTGTGTTAATTTATGCAATTAAATTAATATATAGTTTAAAATGAATTCAATCAAAATATTATTATTAATCATAAAATTATACTTCATTAATTAATTGAGTAACACACACACATATATATTTATGCCTCAGTTTTATTATTTAAACAATAAAAAATAATATTATGTATAATTTTTTTAATAATTTTTTATCATATCTTAAAAATAAACTTAATCAATTGTTTGGTTCCAAAAAAATATTACACAATTTATTAGATAATTCTTAATTTTTCATAAACTATTATTTTTAATATTTTTAATTCATGTAATTTAACTAAAAACTGAAACTATATTTCAATGGACCATGGCAGTTAAAGAAATTAAAAATAACAATAAATAAATAAATAAAAATTATATCTTACTAAAATTTTTTATAGGAACTAAGTTCAAACTATATAATTTTTTGTAAAGATTAAACAATTAATGAAGTACTAAAAAGATATACCTTAAAAATATAACTAAAATTATCTAGCAAAATAGTACAAAAATGATTTCCTTATACCATATAGCCAGAAGCCATTTACCTCTTTGTTCATTCAAAAGAAGTGGAAATTGTGTTTTATAAACCTAATTGTTAAGTTCTTAACTGATTGTAATTGTGGAGAAATATATGACGATAATTTGAATACATATCCAGGACGGATCACAATGTTTCCCAAATAAAACCATATGCCTTCATTGCCTCGTATATGCACCTTCCAGTTTCCAAACAAGTATGGAAAGTGCTCACGTGATCCAGCACAAACTGCTACGGTAGCATATTCGGCAATTAAGCAGCAAGCTAAGGAAAACCATCCTTGAGTCAAGATACATGAACCTAATATATTCAAGTCAAAGAAGCCAAGTGATTCTCGTTACAAAATTATACTTCTTAGGTCCATACTCTACATTTAACTAATCTCAGCTTATTATTATTCGTGGGGTCTTTCAATTTGATAGCTGAAACACCACTGGGTATGTACACATGTATAACTGCATAAAGGATATTAAAGTAAGGTCCATTTGTCCTATATATGTTATAATCAGATGGAAATGTTAGCTGAAAAATGTGGTTAACTTAACTAGCGAACCTGTAGCTCTAGTCTAAGCTGAATCATACGTTGATGCGGTGACTGGTGACACTGGTTCAAATCATATACTAGTGTCCCGTTGTGTGTTTCTCTCATTTTCCTTTTTCTACTTTTTATCTTATTGGATTTAAAGCACTGCTTATCCATTGATGATGATTGATGTGGAGATTGTTATGTCTTGTGTTGGCGGAGGAAGAGAATAAAAAGGGAGAGGAAAGAGAGAGAGAGAGCCCCTTCTAAGTTGAGATTATCTTGAGTATGTTATTAGTTGAAAGACTCGAAAGTGCTGAAAAGTAAACTCAAGTTTGCCACTTGCCTTTAGCCTCTATCGCTAGTGGTTAAATGTCTCTCTCTCGTCTGGCGATGATGTCCCATGTCAATTTTCAAAGGGCAATAATGGAGAAATGGGACACACATGGAGAAGGGATAAAGAGGTGGAACAAAACAAGTTTACGAAAAAACAAAGCTACAAAGAAAGAGAGCGATTGAATTAGTTGACTTTATTTGACACTAACAATGTTATATCCCCCACTAGGTGCGACAAAACAAAAAGCCAGAGAAAATAAAATAAAATACTAAAATATGAAATTTTGAAAAAAAATAAAATTGAGAATATGAGAATTTTTAAAAAAAAATTTAATGCAAAAATTGTCAAAAATCATCAATTGCGTTTTGTAGTGGTTTTATTTTTTAAAATAGGCCATTGGTGTTTTTAATTTTTTTTAAAAATTGTCAATATCAATTTTTAATGCTTGTTTTTTTATTGTTAGTTTTTAACTTTATGCATCTACACCAAAAATTAAAATTATAATAAATTTTTTATTTATTATTTTTTTTAATTTTCTCTAAAATCTCATATTTTAACATATATTATTTAAATAACATATACATAAATAACTTTTTAAAAATTCGTGTTGTTTGTGATTTTTTTATTTTTATATGATATTTAAAAATATAATATAAAAAAATATGAGATTTTTTGAAAAACTTACAAAAAAATATATATTGTAGGTGTAGAAATTTTAATATAGAACAGTTAAGAATTATAAAAAAATTTAAAATATTAAAGATAATTTTTAAAAAATTTAAAAAATATTTTTTTTAGAAAAATATTTGTGTAACTTTTTTTTTCAAAATTTTATATTTTAATTTCTTTTGCCATATAAAAAGAGACCCGCAGTCTGTAGTTTTTTCCTTTCTTTTGATGTTGTGAAAATTTTCAAAGTTAAAAATATTATATTTATAGTTGACAAATTGTTTTAATTAATAATAAAATATTGGTAAAAAATTTATAACAAAATTTCCTGTGAAATAATATTATTTCTACTTGAGTTAATACAAGCAAAACAAAAGAGAGAGAGAGAGGGTTAAAAATAATGTCATTTTCTGTAAATCTCATAAAAGGAGGGCCTTATCTTTCCGATTTGGATAACAGTCATGGGTATTTTGGAACTAACCCCTTGGGGAAAATGACATGTCACGTGACGTTTCCTTTCTCATACACAGAAGCAATGTCACGTGTCACACTTTCCTCTCACAATCCTAGTGGGGCCCACGTGCACAGGAGAACCTTATCGCTAGGAGGATCCAGATCCACAGCCACGTCAATGCTCCCACGTGGTATCCTATCGAATCAACGGTGCAGATCTGTTTCGAAGCTCATTACTTGTTGGATCTTTAACGCTTCGCCGTCGTTAAATATTCATCTAGTGCAGCGTTTTTCTGGAACCTGCTTACTCCACACTGGGCTCTGATCCGCTCAAACACGATACACCCTTCTTCCCATGGGCCTCCTCGATCACTTGTGGGATGACACCGTTGCCGGCCCTAGGCCGGACAACGGTCTCGGCAAGCTCCGAAAGCACCACACCTTCGCTTTCCGAAATAGCTCCGGCAAGGGTACGCATGAGCCGCTGCTAGAATTTCTCGAATTAATTTATTGTTCCAATAACGAGAACCGCGACAAGAACCATCGTCGTTCACTCGAATTGTTATGATCCTAACCTACGCGCTAATATTTGTTAACCTTCGAACATGCAGATCAAGTTCTGTACAGTTTGAAGTTAAGATCTATTCAACATAAAACGTTCATATAGATTCTTAAAGATTAAATGAATCTAGTTGCATCGTTTTTTTTATAAATTAAAAAATGGAAACTACGCTAACGTTGAGCTTGCCGTTGTGTGATTTTGGTTTTGGTGGATCAGAATCAGACACCGGAAGCGTGAAATCGTACGGTGAGGATTCGCCGGAGGATGCGGTGAGAGTGACGCGTAGCATCATGATCGTGAAACCACCTGGATACCAGAGTCAGAGTGGATCGGCTCCGGTTTCCCCCGCCGGTTCTACTCCTCCGGTGTCTCCGTTTTCTGGTAAGGTCGTACTCTATTTTTCAACTCTTTGTAAGTGAAATGTCTAATTTGACCTTGGATTGGCTTTCTCGGAGCTGCCAATGTCTCCCGGGAAAGTGGAACACGAGGGAGAGTGGGATGCTCTAGAACTGTGTATAAGGGTAATTTTGTCCTTTCGGGTCAGCGTTTATCTTCGTATTATATTTAATTAATGGATAATGATAAACACTGTTTTACGTGCGCTAGACATGATGGGTGTTTTGTTTCCTTTGGGATACGCAGATCGAATAATGAAAAGGACGTGCACAACGTGCACATCCACGTATAAATAGTGTTTGAATAACAATCATTTCACATTAAGAAAATAATAGAATAAATTATAGATATGATAAGTAATGGGATTAGAAATAATATGCAAGATGATTGTATAATTTGGAGATCTTAAGGTGTCAGCTAAGTAACCTCAGGAATCAGGCTTCCTGTAGAGTTTGTGCTACGTATTTGATGTTGGGGCTTTATGTAAGGGTTTAGAAAATAGAAAGTTTGACATCTTATTTAAAAACACAAGCATCTGGATATTTATGTAGTGAGATTGATTCGTATGTTAATATTTGAATCAATTGAAAGCCCGACGTATAAAAATGCGTTCACTCTCATCCGGGTTTCAAATGATTCGTATACTACCTAGAGTGAATGCATCTTTATAGTTCAAGTCTCAACAAGAACACACGTCTTCTCATTATTGCCCATATCTAATTTAAAGTAAAAGGTCTCAATCTGGTCCTTGACTGCTAATGGTAGCAAACTGAAGCACTTCAAAATGATTTAAAAATCTTTTTTCTTTCCCTCATTTAGTTTTATTTATTTATAGTTAATAGATCCTATACTCCCTAGAAGTGTAGTTCAAAACTTTAGTAAGAAAATATTGATTAAATATGATTACTTTGTTATGCAATAAAGAATATATAACATGATATACTGATATGTTATGTATCCTATCTTTTTATAGGAGCTAGAGAGTCCTTCCGTTTTCGGAGAAGGTCGACATCCGATGCGTACGAGAAGACAGGGCAGAACAGACCAAGCTCTTCTTCTCCTTTCGATGTGTGAGAAATGAGCTTGATCATCGCTTTCTACTCCATGGATATGACTGAAAATATAGCTTGTTTTTCTCTGGCCTTAGTCTGCTGTATCCATTATCCATTTTTGTTTAGCTTGGAGTGCATATACGTTAGTCTGCTGTATCCATTATCCATTTTTGTTTAGCTTGGAGTGCATTTACGTATATATATGTATATGAATGTGTTTATTAGTTGATCAGTGAGCGGTTGAGGTCGTGGGGTGATGTGAGATAGTTGTGTTGTTTAGCTTCTCGGTCTTAATTAGTTTACTGTTGAGCTGTGTACGTAGTGGCTCGTAAGCTGTAAATAAAGTATGGTAGAGATGTATCTTGATATGTGTATGTATATAAAGAAAAAGTCTTTCTAAAGTTTGATGGGTGTTTTTGCTCTCTGAATGTAAGCATCATATCTTTGGGTAATTTGAAGTATCATGATCTGTTATCGGATTGAAAATGAGGATTGAGGGGAGAGAGACAGAAGAGCTAAGCATAAAAAATGGACAATGGTTCAATACGTAAATTAATTATGTCTTCAAGGATGGCTTCTGAGTTCCAAGAACAGGACACTTTGGGATGGGGCGTTGTCTTCAAAGTAGGCTTGATGGGGCTTTGTCTTCAACGATGGCTTCTGCATAAACGACACCTCTAGATGGGGCTTGGCCCACTAGTATTATTGAATATATTTCCATGTCTTCATGTCGGAACGTCCATTTTTCTTTTTTTATTCAACGACACGTTTACATATGTTTTCATTTCGAATATATGCCTTTCTTTAAAATCTCAATAAAGTTTTTATTTTATTTTTTATTTTTATGAAGTTACGTAGTTTTGTATTCTTTAAATATTAAAATGTTAAATACCAAATATATTTTACACAATTTATACTGATTAAATCTTTTAATATAAATTCAAAATTATATTTTGTGAGTGTGAGTCTTTATCATAAAATTATTAAAATCCAATGATTAGATTTATAATAATTATATGAAATATATTCTCAACTAGTCCGAAGTCCGTTCATAATTATTTGGCCGTCTAATCTTTTAGATTTACAGATGATGGCATGATGATTGAAACTTAGGTCTTTTAATAGCGTATTTATTTGAGTTTTGCTATATTATTTAAATTTTTTAAAAATATATCTCAAAAATATTATTTAATAATAAAAGAAAAAAATTACACAAAAAAGGTGAAAAAAAATAATAGCAAAAAAAAAAAAGGTCAAAAACAGAATTATTTTTTGTTTAAACCTTTTTATGACTTCAGTCGCTTGCAAATACCCATTTTCTTTGTCTTTTCAAAGTAATTAATCCTCCCTTTATCCAAATGGCAATTCACAAACTTATGAATTGAATAGCCTATGACGTGTTACATACGTTCTGTTGATGATGTTTTTAAAACAGCCTAATTTTATTTTGATCTTTTATGTATGTGTGGTTTTACATTTTACTTTTTTTAATATAATTTTTCTAAATCATATAAATTTGGTCTCTAACTCCTTTATATTCAAAATTCTCCATTTTTTATGTAAGTTATTGGAGAGTTTGTAATGAAATTGAAATATAAAATAACTTTTGAGAGTTGAGAAGTAAAAATTTAGTGAAACTTGTCAAAATTCGAAGTATTGTATAAGATATGAGGTTAGAATTTGAAGAAAAAATAATAATTATTTTTTTAATTTGAGTGAAATTTAATAGTTTGTTTTATTATTTTTAAGTAAAAGGCAATACTATCAAATTGATTGTGCATATATTCAACAGAAAAGGTGAAATTAAAACTTTAATTTTTAATGTATGCTCAATAAGATATACAATAAAGAATTAATAAATAAAAAACTGTTATTTTTTATTGTTTGTCATTAGAAACATTTAAAGGTCGTTAAATTTTTTATTTTTTTTTTACAAATATGTATTTGTTTCCATTTGTTATTATTTGCATTTTAAGGCCGTATATTCTTTTTATCAACATTATTAATTAAGTAAAATAAAATGATTAATTTTTTTTAAAGAGTTGTTGATATTAAAATATTTAAAATGTAATTATAAAATTATTTTATTTATTTTTAGCACTAATTAATAGTTTATTGTTTGAAAACATTTAATATGCTTTTTATTGTTTTAAATAAATAAACATTTTATGATAAATTAAAGTATTAACACAAATTCGCAATAGTCCCAATTGAATTTTTTTTTTTTAAGTCAACGAAATCATTTTTGATCACAATGATGGCTAGGGAGGAAAGGACCATTATTAATGGGACATGGCCCAAGTATATTTTTGAATATATATGCATGTCTGCATGTTGGAGCGACATATGTTGTTTTCTTTAAAGTGTACGTGTATATAATTGATAGCATGTCAGCTTATTTTTTATATCATTAAATAACCTTTACACCAATTTCATATTTAATTAATTTTTAAATGTAAAATACATTTATAAAATATAAGACGGATTCAAAATTATACTGCATTTAAAAATTAACATAAATTATGCTTTATGATAAAATTAAGCTACTAATTTTATACTAATATTTATCTTTATATATATAAAAACATATGAGTTTTGAAAGAAATTTTGTCTTCACAACTACATTAATTTAGTGTGATTAATATATTTATACATTTTTTTGTTAAATTTTATTATTAAAAATTAATAATTAGTATCTAGTTAATGAGAAATAATAGAATGAATGAATAAGAATAATGAGTTTATATATTTGAAATGTCATGCAACAATAGAAAGAATAAGAATTAATATTAATTTAGTGTGATTAGCATATTTATTATTTTTTGTAATGCATTAATATTAATATGTTAATATTTAAAATGTCATGTATGTTACATTTGAATCTGTTATGAATAATCAAATAATTTTAATGTTGTAAATAGTGCATGAGAACTACATAGACAGACGTAAAACATTTAATAAAAACAACAAAATTATATTTTATTTAGTATATATAAAGAAAAGTACATGTTGTTTGTTCAACATACTCTTTCTCTAAAATGACATATAAAATTTCAATGTTTTCTGAAATACAACTTACAAAGGTGGATTGAAAGATAATGGTTCAAATCATTAGTTTTTGATTTTTTTCTGAGTTTAAAAATAAAAGTCAAATCAATAGCATAGATATGATTTTTATTAGTAATAATCTATATTAAAACTAATCCAACCAATGATATTACTATAGTTGTTACATAACTAAACTAGCTTATATAAAATTTAAATTAAATTTATTATAAAAAAACTTTCTTTTTTAATTAATATAATACGAAAAAAAATAATTTTATAAAATTATATATTATATATCTTCTATTCAAATAGTTAATATTTTTTATTAGTAATAATGCATATGTACTAATTAATTTTAAACTTTAAAATAATTTATCCATTATTATAAAAAAATTTAAAATTATTTTTTATTTTATAATTAATAATTATAATATTATATTATGACATAATAATTTATTCATACATCGCACGAGTCACCTATTAGTATTCAATATGATAAATGGTTAAGATTAAAAACAATTGCATTTTATACCTTCTTAACTAGTTTGCAATCTAATCATTATTAGTTGTTAAACTAATTGTTTAGATTTATAATGACATGGTACAACAAGTAATCAGGGTGTTGTCTATCAAAATTTAAAAGCTTATTTATTTGCATAGGCCTGTCTCAAAGTAATTTTTTTTAATGTTAATTATTCTCTAAGGTAGCGTTTAGTTGAAAGACAAAAGCATGAGAGAGACATAGAGACATAGAAGTGCACATTTTCTGTTTGATTAGTATCTCACTAAGGAGATAAAAACATAGAGTGGAAAAATGGACATTGGTGTTCATGCTCCAAAGACACAAAGCTGAATTTTTGTGACAAAAATGTTTTTAGTAATAATTGAAAATGACAACTACTACTCTTAACCCTAACTTATCTTCTCCTTCTCCCTCTTATGAAGCCATTTTAGCTTCAGTTTCCAATTCAGCCAAGACAACATTCTACCAAGTGTGTTCTTCAACATCCTTTGTCATTGTCATCATTGTGCATAGAGGTAATGTTCCTCTTCCTTATTCTTTTATCTTCTATACCTCCATATTGAGGTAATGTTTTCTGTTGTCAATCTCCAGCTCCCTCTTGATTTTAATTTTCAATTGTAATATTAAATTAATGTTGGATATATTTGTGTTTATAACTTTAATTTATGTTTATAACTTCATATAATATTCTCAAACATGTCAATCACATTAACAAGATTTAACCGTAGTTTCTTATGAACCTCTTTTTTGTAACACACCAATCACATTAACAAGATTTAATCCTTCTAGTTTGTTTATTCATAATATTATTAAGTTATTAATATTCTCCAGTGACAACTTTATTCATAAGCAAATGTTAAATAGTTTTTTTATTTCATTTGAGATTCATTTTGTTCGTATTAAAATTTTTTTTTCAATTTCTATCCTATTTTTCTTATCCTTTTCATATGATTTTTTTATTTCATAAAAAATCAAATTAAAAATCCTCTTCTCTGCATACAACTTAATTTGTTTAGATATTCAAATTAAGATATTCTTGTGGTGGTCTATTGTTGCATCATGTGATATGATACACTTTATGGTTTAAAGTCTGTAAGTGCTAAAGTTTTCAAGAATCTCTTATTAGAAAACTTCCTTGGACTCTTTACTCTCTTTACACAGAAGTAGGAATTTACATAGATGTCTATCACTAGGTACCATTCAAGACACTTTGACTAGTTTTTTCAATATTTTGCAATAGGAACTTGTTGTTTTGGTGCAGTAATTCCAAGTATTTGTTTTGAAATTTATGTTTTTCTATGTGCATGTTATTAGTAAAGACTTTACTTATGAAGCAATTGCCCATTTTTTTTGTTTAATAGGAAAGAATAAACTATTCTAAATAAGTTAAGATATCTATTGCATATTATTGGATTATGAGGCAAAGATTCCACAACTTGATGTTTATGGTTTTATTAACCGTGTATATGTACAATAGGAATAGAAGGACGGATGATGGTTTCATTAGTCGAAGTCTAAACACTAATGTATTTAGGCAAGATGCACTGGAAAGCATAATTGGGAGTGAGGGTGATATGAATTGTATTTGGGAGATATGGATGAATTTAGATGCATTTTCATCTCTGTGTGAATTCCTTCAAATTCAGGATGAGTTAAACGTTGATGGTTATGTTAGCATAGCTAAGTCAATAACAACTTTTCTAATCATATTAGCCCACCATAAAAAATTTGCAGCCTCCAAGTTAGGTTTTATAGGCTGGGTGAAACAATTAGGAAGTATTTTAACAAGGTGTTGTGTTCAGTCTTGCGTGTCCGAAGTCTTCTACTTGCAAATGCTAAACTTGTCCCAGAAGATTGCATGTATAACGCCCAAAATTTATAATAACAATAATATTTTTAAGTTATTAATGTAAATTATGAATTTCTATATGAATAGGTATTTGATGAGTGTGGTGGTAATGTGAATGCATGAGTATGTGTGAATATGTGTAAGTGAATATATATATATATATATATATATATATATATATATATATATGTGTGTGTGTGTGTGTGTGTGTGTGTGTATAATTGTGGATGTTGATTGTGAATTGAGAGATTGGATGTGGTTGGATTGATTGAATATATAGGTTAAGTGTGTGCTGCAAGGGTGTTCTCACTGTAGTGAGAAGGCCTTGGGAGAAGGCATGAATCTGTTACGCTCTTGCTATAGCAAGAGATCCCTCGTTGTAGCGAGAGAGCGATAGAGTAGTGCATTTTTGGGTACAGTCTC